GATTTTTTTTGTTTTTTTGTTTAAACAAGTTGGTTTCGTATAATTAATTACAAACTACAATTCGCGTATTTTTGTATTATAATAATTGTTTAATAATAATTTTTTGTTAGTTTTTCGTTTTGTTTTTGTTTGTTTGCGGCTTAAATACTTTGGGCTACGCGTTTGTTTTCTAGGCGTGTCTTTGTCTGTGTGTCTGTGTCTGTGTGTGTCAGTGTGAGTGTGAGTGTGTTTCTGTGCTCGATCAACATTCGATCTAGGCATTATCTATTAATTTGCTGCTCTATTTATATGTATATATGGATGTATTTATCTCTGGAAGTGTCTGCTGTCGAATTTTGTATGGCCTCTGAGCTGAGTGAGAATGGAACCGATCTGAACTATTTAACTTATGGACTTATGGAATTGCGCTAATTAAATGTTGTATAATAATTTCATAGCTGGAATCTCTTATCATTTTTGTCAAGTGGGCTGCTGAGGCACGGCGTCACTTGGTAACGTGGCCAAAAACGCATCTAGCTAAAAATGTATTCGGCTGTGTTTCCTTAGATATCTAGTTCAATAATTGTTAGCGCTCCTAATCGAATATATTTATGTTGTTTGTTTTTGTCTGTGTGTATTTCTATTTCTTTTGTGTGTGTCTGTTGCACATATATATGTATATATGTATGTGTATAAATTTATTTAACAAACTACTAATTTTAAGGGCTTTATGCACGCTTTTCACTACCAAAAAACTACGCGTAGTATATTTAATTATAAGTTTTCAATATATATATACTAAATTTATATATATTTTTAATGTGTATATAGATCTCTATATATATAATTTTTTCATTAAATATGTTTTTGTTGTTTTTGCGCTTAATTCGCATTGTTGCTCCGCGTTTGCTCTTGCTTCTCTTTCGAATTTCATATAAACTTAATTGTTACTCAAAAATAATGTACAATAATAATAATTAATAATAACTGTTTCTCCGCTCTAACTGTAAAATTTCTCATTCTTCTGTATATATATATGTGTGTGTGTCTGTAAGCAATTAAAATATCACCAATATTTTTGCTTTTACTCTTTTTTTGTGTTTTCTTTTTTCGGTTTTCTACGTTCGCAATTTTCTTTTTTCATGTAAAAAAATTTAAATTAAATTAAATACAATATAAAAAATGTACAATTATTTTCTCTTTTTTTTTAGTTTTTTGTTTTTCTTCATCTTTCTGACGCGTTTGTTAAAAAGTTTTCTTTTGTTTTGTTGTTGGTTCCATTTACGTTTTTATCTTTCTTTTTGTTTTGCTTTTTTTTTAGTTTTGCTTAAGTAAAATGAAATGTGGGCGGGCGAACTGTGCGCTGGGCGTGGCCAAATTGCATTAAGTACAAGTGCTTAAGTTCTGCGAGTGTATGGGTGAGGGTATATATATGTGCTCTACTATTTTCTCTTCATTTTTTAAATATATATATTTTGTTTTTTGGGGCTGCTTTTGAATACTTTTGCTCGAATTATTATTCAAATATATATACGTGGAAATATATATGTG